GGGGCAGTAAGCTTTGGAGCACCCACGTAGGTGGCTCCCTGCATCCTCTGCACTGATAGAGGTGCACCTTTGGGTCCCTACTTCTTTTAGTTTCCAAACCCTTTCTCACCTGTTAGAAGGACTACTCAGAGCAACTCCATGAAAATTTTTCTGCGTGACTGTGAGGTCTCATTTGGATTTTTAATACATAGTCACATTCTAATGAGGTCTTCATAAAACTGACTAAATATGTTTAGATATCATTAGCTTAAATTACCGGTGCAAAATCTCCTTTGGGAGTCCCACTGATTTTGTTATAAGACTTTTGGCAGATGGATTAGTACAGCAACAGAACAGAGTTTGCAAATCTCCACACAAACAGTGTAAATGGGAATGCCTGAGAAACCGGTGACTGGATGTAAAGTTAAATGTCCCTCGGGTGGGTTCATTAAAGAGGGAAAACAGTCACAACACATTCCAGTGCGATTTAAATGCCAGGTGTGCAGCCGTCGGGCAGGTGCCAGGAAAACTGACAAGGGTCCCTTCCCAGAACACTCGGCTGAAAGAGGATGCTCAGTGGTGACAAGGAAGTCTTAGATAATGACAGGTCCTGGCAGATGTACCAGGGACCCCGCTGGAGGGAAGTGCAGCGTCTGTGTCTTTTGCACCAGGTGCTGCAGCAGGGAAGGGCTCCCAGTGGCTCCAACACTGGCAATTACTGCCGCCTGATGCAGAATGCTTGGGGCAAAAATCAGGGGAAAGCGGTTCCCAGCACTGACTTAATGAATCGGCAGCCAGTCTGTGTAAACAAACCAGCATCCAGCTCCCTCATGCCTAATTCATGAAAGACACACCATGTGCAGTAAACATGTAAGTAGGTAGTTGTTGCCCTGAAAAACCATGTCATTTTGATTTTTTCAGTGGTTTGTTGTTGCTGTTTTTAAGCACAGAAGATGGGGAAGTCATCTCTAGACAAATGTGCAACATTAATAATGGGAAACAGACTGGAATAAGGTCATCACCTTGTCCTGGAGGGAATGTGACCTCTTGTCAAACCCCCCAAATCACACCAGAAATTTTAAGGACGGATGCCATTAAACTCATTACTAATTGAAGACAGGCCCATCCAAGGGGCTGATGGTAACATGGCGAGGACTCTTCAGAGCTTACTATCGTCCCCACAAACCTGGTAAGGATTTAGAAGGATTTTTTTTTAAAAGAGCTTACTAGACCTAAAATTGTTGAGTTACTTTAAGCCTATGTGCTTCCATTCACAAGTAAACACGCAACCCAGTCACTCTCTGCCCTTCTTTGTGGAGTTCAAAAGGGGCGCTGGAATCTGCAGACACTTCCCTTGTGTGTGAATTAGAAAGTTAATTCCGAGGTCTAGTGTTCCACGGTTTCAGCTGGAGTCTCCACGGTTACTGTCAGAAGGAATAGTTTCCATGCTAAAATCAGTAGTGACCACCCTGTGTGGGCCAGGGCCAAGTACCTGGTGGGAGGAACAGAGACCACCCCTGCACGGCCTTTGTACTTTTGACATTTCTAAACTCAGGGAACTCGAAATGAAACCTGGTTCTCCGCAGAGTGTGCTGTGTCCACGAGACAGTGAGGTTTAGTGTAGGAGCTTTTTATTTTTTATTTGTTTTATTGTATAACCTTCTTTTTACTTTTTAGCCAACTGGTCTAGGCTGGGCTACTATGCTGTCTCATCTTTCCTTAAACAAAAAAGGTTTATTATTTAAAAGTAGCTTCCTTACTAAGACACTGATTCTGGAGCTTATATACTTTAGAATTTCAACTAAGCAATGAAAATACACGTTTTTTAAAAATCCAGTTATTTTCAATGACTTTTTACTTTACAAAATAATTTACCTTGGGATTATTTTAAGTGAGCTCTTAGGCAAACATACAACATTTTGAGTTTGTGACTAACTTTCGAGGAACACAGCTGTTCTGAAAGTGCAGTGTGGAGGGAGCGGTCTCCAGGTACCTTTTCCTTCTTATCGTACATGGGCAGTCAACACGTATTTGTGAAGTGAATGGTGGGTTCAGAATGAGTCATACATATCAGGGGAAGAAAGCCAAGAACATGAAAACAGATAAAATATTGAGCCTCACTGTTTCATAGTGAACCTAGCTTATGCTCTCTGACACAAAGTGGGATGAATTCCCATTCATTCATTTCCTTGGGCATTTATTGAATGCCGAGAGGGAGAGAGCAAAAATTCACGAGCCCGTCTCTTTCCTTAAAGGAGCTTGCTTTCTGGTGAGGTTGATAATTTTTACTGCTTTCCTAGCAAAAGAAGGTGGATTTGGACTGGGAAAAAGAATGATCAACACCACTGTAGGTTTCAGGTTTGTTGGGGGAAAGATAAGGCTTACATTAATACCTGTATTTATTAAGTCTTCAGAATGAGGCAGGAACTTTCCTAACCACCCAATATATGGAAATCATTTAATTTTTACAAGAAGTTTAAAAGGCAGGTGCTGAGGTGACAGGTCAGTGGTGAAGAGGCTCGGCGACCAGCGAGGCCAGTCACTGAGGGAGCCGGGCTGCCCCAGGCTCTAGGCCGGCAACCCTGCCCTCACTGTCTCCCAGCAGAGAGAGGATTGACAAACATGAGCGGTTTTTACACTTTTAGTACATAAAATATTGCTTTGTAAGTTTTTGTACATTACATAATGGTCTCATAGAAGTCCCTCTCTTGTCACTTTATTTAAATCCTCTATCATAGAGAAAATTTTATATTCTAATACAGGCAGATTTCCCTATCCGTTTCTTTGTATTAAATTTATGGGGATGACATTGGTTAATAAGATTATACAGGTTTCAAATGTACATTAATACTTTGGTATTGTTGATGCATTCTTAGAAAATTCATAAATATTTCCCCCCATATTTTTTCCTAAAAACTGTAAAGCTTGGTTATATTTTGATTTTTATGCAGTATTCATTTTGGGGTGCTCTATGGAGATGGCTTTTTTTTGTCCGTGTGGATAACCCAATTGATTGAAAAGCTCATTCTGTACCAGTAATTACATATTTTCCCACATTTGCCTGCAGTTAACACCCAGGCTCTCTGTTTTCACCTGCTGTCCTACTAATCTCTTCCCAGTTTGTGGTGCCCTTTCTTATGCCCCTGTCTGGTTTTGATTGTAAGGTTATATTAGCCTCTCAAAATAAAACGGGGGAGCAGTCTTTCTCTCTTCTTTTAAAATAACTTTTGTAAGATCTGAATTATTCACTCCTTGAATATTTGGTAGAACATATGTGTAAATACATTTGGGACTGTTTTTTTTCTGTGAGTTAAGTTTTAACCATAATTCACTCTTAAAACAATTTTTGTCTATTCAGAATTTGTTTCTTTTTGAATCAGTTTTGGAAAATCATATTTGTCTAGAAAACTGCCTAATGCATCTAAATTTTCAAATTCATTGTTAGTTATCCATATTATCTATTGTGATAAAAAATCTTTGCCCCATTCATAATATTGGTTGCTTTTAGTTTTCTTTCTCTTCCGATTGACAGATGTTTGTCTACTTTATCAGTGTTTTCACAAAGCCTTTTGATTTTGTTGATTTTTCTTTGTTTTTTCTTTAGTAATTTATGCTCTTCTGTTTATTTCCTCTTTTCCTTCTTTACTTTACTCTGTTCTTCATGTGTTTCTTTGAATTAGATGCTTAGTCTCCTAACAACAGCATCTAAGAACATATATATATCCTTTTAGGTACCACTTTATTTGCATCCTACAAGTTTACTGTATGGTACTTTATGATTGGCAGTTCTAAATACTTTCTGATTTATGTTAGGGTGTTTTACTTTGGCCCATTAGTTAGTGGAAGTGCTTTCTCTCTCAGATCCTAAGTGAAGATCAGTTCACCTCCTTGTTATTTCCTCGTTCTGGTGCCCACCGCCTTCCTGCTTCCGCACTCCCTCCCCCCTCCCATCTGCCCTTTCTTTGCAGGTTCAGGTTGTAAGTGGCAGTGTCAGTTCTAATTCTTAGCACTCCACAGTTCCAAGACAGTATCTCCCATTAAACACCAACTGCGAATCCCCCCCTCTTCCCAGCCCTTGGCAACCACTATTGTGTCCTCTGCTTCCATGAAGCTGACTACTCTAGGTAACTCGTATAAGTGCAATCATGCAGTATTCTTCTATGGTTAGCTTTTTTCATTTAGTGTAATGTCCTCCAGGTTCATCCATGTTGTCATAAATGGCAAGATTTTCTTCTTTTTTAAGGCTGATGAAGAAATGACACCTTTATGGTTTCTGCCCCAATATGTCAATTCTAAGCTGATCTCTAGGCTCTTTTGCTGAGGGTATATCTCACAATGTCAACTTCTCTAAGAAGTAATGGGTTTTTGAGTTGGGCAGAACCACAGAATTGACCCTACTACAAAGCAAAGGAACTGCCCTCTGTGCATTTTCTCATTGTTGAATTTCATGTTGGAAGTAATCCTACAGCACGCCAGTCCCGGGATGAGAACCTCTTAGTTTCTTGGTTAAACATAAACAGCACTCATAGACAGTTGATTCCTTGGGGCAGATGTGACCTCCATTTTGCAGGCTGGAAAATGGAGGCGCAGGGAAGTAAAATCCAAGCAAGGGAGGCTGGAATCCTAACCTAAGGACTGAACCCAGTGCTGCACACCATTGTTTCTAGGGTCTGTTTTCTAGAATCAGGGAATGCAGTTATGAGTAATGCGGCGCCCATTGAGTTTTGACACCTGACAAACAGCATTCATGCTTAGAGGTGTATTTATTTGCTCAGGATAGCCAGTTGACAACTGCTTTTAAATCCTGAATGCCTTTCCTGTCTGTTGCTATCGCAACAAATGAAAGCAATTCAGACAATGTTTACTGATAATTTATAAGCAAGTGCGGCAAGCAGTAGGAGGAGCTGTAGTAATTAATGTTTTCTGGAGTACACAAAATACTACTTCAAAAGCTTGCTTTTGCCTTGCTTCATATTACCAGCTAAGCAAAGAACGAACGGACATGTAGGTGTCTTACTTACCCTCCCCACTTCCACAAGGTTGGTCACCATTACTATGCTTGCGGTGTTTTCGTGCCACACCATCCTCCAGAAGTCATAGATGGTCTCTTGCATTGGTCCTAGAGCAAAGCAGAACAGAGACTTTTTTTTCCTTTGCAAGTTTGCAACTGGAAAATGTCTGGGCTTGCAAACAAATCACATGCAGTTCTCTCAATTTTACAGGTGGACTTAGCTCTCCTCTCTAGTGTTGATACAACAGGGTACTCTTTCTGGAAGAGCTTCTGAAGAATTACTGAATTTTTTCACTCATAGTTGAATTTTCTCATGTTATCAAACATATCTGCATTTGAGCTCTTTCTACCTCTTTAAACTACTGCCATTAAAGAAAGTTACTTTTTTCCTCATTTAGCTATTTATCTCCATAATACATGAGAGTAAAATTTTAAACCATGGTAAACATTTCTCTTCCTGCTAACAACTGGCAGATATCCCAGGGAAATGGTATGTATATGAATGAAATAAGCCTCTGTTGATCAAATGTCCTTTTTTGTTTCTAATATTCTTTAGTCTGTCGATCCGTTTTTGGGGGCCTGGCTTCCTAGAGTGAGAGAGAAGTTAGAGTTTTAAGCAGTTGTACTTCCTGTCACTGAACATGATCAGCATCTCCTTTCTTAGCTGTTGGAAAATCTGAAAATTAAAAACCCTTTCTAATGGACTTGCCTAAAAAAAGTGAGAAAATATGTATTATGAAATACCTGTGCTATATATACTAGCAGGTACAAAAAGTTGAAATTTAAAATTTCTTTTAAGCCATATTTTAGAAAATGCCAAACTTCCTTTTGATGATCATAAATATTTGGGGGCTTGAATGTACAGTATAAATCTTTACAAGAAGAGAAGAAATGCAAGGAAATGAGAGGAACCCACTTCAAAGGCATGGAGGAGGGCCACATGCTGTATGTGGCGTCAGACAAATATCCAAGTACAGGCCGGGACCGGAACCCATCGTGCTCTAGCGTCTTGACATTACAGGCTCCAGGATTTGGAGCTCAATATTTAAATTTGAGATTTGCTTCTGCCTTTTTAACTGACTGTGGTTTTGGGCAAGTCACTCAGCCACTGTGAACTTCAGTGTCTTCATCTTCATCTACATACTGATTTCAATAACACTTGTCAGGGTTATTTTGAGAATTCATGGACTTAATTCACACTTAGGAATTTCATAAATACCACCAAAGCACTAGAACTAAAACCAAGGTGCATTGAAAGGTATTTATTAATGGCTATTCCTTGGCTGAGGCTTGTATATTGAGCAATGGTGGCACAGTTGAGGGGTCTCTTCAGTCATCTTCCATTTCTCTTGACCAATTATCAATTGGTTCTCATGTAATTTCTTTCTTCTTCCTCACTGTCAAAGCCTCCTTTCCACGGTACAAAACTCTATCATTCCTCCACGTGCTTCTGGCCACGCACTCTCACCCTCCCCAAACTTACTCCACTTCCTGATATTGCTGTGTCTACTGCCTGTATGGAACTGTATATACCAACTCCCAGGAAGCTGTACCTGCCATTTCTGTCCCGGTCCCTTGGCACGCACATGCCATTCTCCTGATGTGTAGGCTGAAAATTTCTGTGACTTAAATCTAAGGTCACAGAGGAGACAAGTAAACACTGGACCCATCAATCACTACATTTCTAGTTTGAAGAGAGGTACATCTACTGTGTACTTAACAGCTTGGTACTTATTCACAAGATATAAAATGCCTTGAGTTCATCCTTGTGAAGATATTCCCAATGTGACCCATGAAATAAAGGAGTGGCTCAGATACTTTCTGACTCCTTCATTAGATACATGGGCCACTGCCACCTACTCTGAAACTTCCAGGAATAGTTTTGATGACAATGGCTACAGAGGATGAATCAGATGTTCCAGCATCACGGAGGATGGTGTTGTGCTGTTAGGAAGAAAAGCTATGTCTCCCCTCAATGCCCAACAGGAGTCTTCCCAGAGACATTGTAGGCTATAGGGCCCAGGGTGCCCTATCAGTGCAACTCACTTGCTCTTTCTTAGGTTTAGACTCCCTTGTGATTACTTTCAAGTTTCCCTTGGAGGGGAACATGGCTGGTATTACTGTAGTTTTCTTATGGCACACCTGGCCCATAGCAGGAGCTCAATGAACAAATGAATGAATGGATACATCTGCGTGCATATACCTAAACTGTATTGTTTTTTATTAGAATGTTTCACTAAATATATTTAAGAGTTACATAATAGTACCAGTATATAATATTTGCATGGTTCCCTTTCTTGACTTATATTATCTGTATTATCTGTAGAAGCTTACAAGCACATCACCCTTATTCCTTTCCAACCCATTAAAAGGGGGGAGGGTATCTTCTGTAATATCTAAGTGTCCCTGTCCCGAGGCTTTGCCTCCCAGCTTAACTCAGTCCATTCCCCTAGGTCCCCAGAGTGCCATCCTAGGCTCCCGGTAACTGTTCTCTGCTGGGGGCAGTGGATCTCAGTCCTGGCTGCATATGACAATGATTGTGGACCTTTTGAGAAATTCTGAAATTTTGAGAAATTCTAAGCCAAGAGACTAATTTAGTTGGCTTGGGTGTGTTTTCAAATCTCCCCTGGTGGAGAACCTCGGATCTGCAGCATTAGGGCATGTGACTCCACTTTCCGACTTCACCACTTGGAGGTCTCCTCTGAAGTGCAGTTGTGGAACACCAAGGATTTGTTTGTTTTGAATCTACTGAATAGTCAAACCCTAATACAAGGTCTTTGTATCCAGGAATCCCATTTCTTTCTGAATTACAAGGAACTTCACTCCTAAAATGTCATCTAAGAACACAGCTGTCCCACCTCGCCATTGGGCTGAGAATCAGGTAAGGTGATATGGGTTTTTTTTTTTTTTAATATTTACAAAGCTAAATTTGAGTTAGCTTTAAAATAAAGGCTATTTATAAGCATTAGTGGCTCCCATAGGTGAAGACATATACCATAGTCATTATGATTTTTACCTACTGACCTGGACTAAAAAAATATTAGGCTAGAAAAATGAATTATGTAGGTTGTTTTCAATGCTAAAGTTAGGCACAGGTATCCAGAAAAACTACAACTGCTTGGGTTAAAATCTGAAAATGAATTCAAACACAAAGCTTATTCTAAGTTGATCCCAGAAAGGCAAAATAAGTGCCAGGAAAGGGGTCCCCAACTCCCCTGGTGCACTTTGGCCTTTTGCTTCCCTCTCCTCTCCTTCACCCGTGGGGCATGGTGCACCGTCGACTTGTGAGAGGGTGGGCCCCCTTCTCCGCACGCAGGGCCTCGCCCTGACCGGCTACTGTGGCATTTCAACAACAAAACTTTTCAGGCCTGGGCCTGATTTCTTTTCTCTTTGACATATTTCAGATTATTTCCTGAGATCTGAATAAATTATAACTCCGAAATACATGTATTCTGACATCAAAAAGCACAATGCAGGTTGAGCAGGCAGACTTGACTGACATTAAGGCTACTGCATTTGATTTCAGCAACTCCTAGTAGGTCTGTCTCTGAGACCGGCTGTCGGAGCCAACACTGAGTCTGCGGTTGCAGGCCTGGCACACAAGGTGGTTCCTGCCGGCACCCATGCCCTTGCAGGGCTGAAACTGGGGAGGCAGACCACGAGAGGGCTAGCTCTCCTCTGCCCCAATGTCCATATCCCAGGCCTGGTGTGACAGGCACCCTCACCATGAGGAGAACAATCGATAGAAAGATCACTGGGGACTGCTCACAGAAAACAGACAACTGAACTCCCAAGACAAGGAATCCAAAACAGCAGGCAAAGGACTGAACGATCTCCCTCCCCCAAGGTGTGAACAGCTGCCATCTGCAGCCTCAGTATTTGATGTCTGCAGTTTCTGGCTGGGTGGAAGCTGCCACAATTGCCATGCCTGTGCATTTACAGATGTTTGCACAGTAGGCAGGAAGGTTATTCTCAGCAGTCTTTCCCCTATGGGATGGAAGCATTCGAAAGGTAAGGTCTTGAAATTTCAATAGTATCAGGCCAGTAATACATTCCATTTCCTCCACAATAGTTGGCACACACAGACCTCTGCTGAGAAGGAAATGTGTGGAGCGGCCGTTCTCACCACCACCAAGGCCTGAAGGAACAACAGCAGAACAGGGCAGACAGAGGCCGAACACAATACAGAAAAATTTAAAGGAATGAAAAGCATAAGTGAGAGATATTCAAGGATGGGCTCTATTGTGTAGATGAATTCTCTAGTTCATGAGAAGTGACATATATTAAAAATTATAATTTCAAACCTTGAACAGTTCACTTGTACCCCTTCTTTTCACATTCTGGTTTCTATGCAGTATGTTTTGTGTGTTAACTAGAGCCTCAGGGAAGTCAAGGTCCTTTAAGCTTGCAGTGGTATATTACAGGTTTTTTTAAAGGCAAGAAAGATAGCACAAATATGAACTGGTACTCAATCATAAATAGAATAATTCCTAACTTGTTTTGTGCACTTATTATTTCCCAGATTCTGTTTGAATCTCTTTCAATTTAAACACCATAATCCTATGTAATAGGTGCTATTGTTTTCCCCATTTACTGAAAAGTCAGGTAAGTAATCCAAGGTCACAGGGCTGGTGAGCGTGGAGCAGAGCCCTGAGGTCTGACCCCAGTGTCACCCTGCTTCTGTACTAGTCAGGCCTGCGAGTACAGTCATCACGTTCCCAGTGAGGATAAAATAGAAGAAAACCCTCCTTGGTTAGGTTTATTCCCAGATATTTTATTTTTGTTTTTGCTATATTGAATGGGATTTTTCCTTGATTTCTGCTTCTGCTGATTCATTGTTAGTATATAAAAATGCCTTTGATTTCTGAATATTGACTTTGTAACCCGCTGTTTTGCCAATTCACTAATTAGTTCGAGCAGTTTTTTGGTAGAGTCTATAGGATTTTCCATGTACACCATCATGTCATCTGCAAACAGTGACAGTTTTGTTTCCTCCTTTCCGATTTGGACGCCTTTTATTTCCTATTCTTGCCTGATCGCTGTGGCTAAAACTTCCAAAACTATATTGAATAGAAGTGGTGAAAGTGGACATCCTTGTTTTGTTCCTG